GTAAAAAAATTTTTTTCTTTTTTTTGCCGGGGCCCTTTTTTTTTTTTTTCCCCTTTTTTTTTTTTTAAAAAAAAAAAAAAAAAAAAAAAAAAATTACCTCCATCATTCCACCATTCATTCATTATATTCCATTTGATTTTTAATGTTGATCGATCAATCAATTGTTTTAGATTAATCATTATCGATTTATTATTCTGTTGATTATTATTCTGTTGTTGTTGTTGTTGATTATTATCGATCATCAATAATGAATGATAAGCACGAATAAATAAAAGAAATTCTTCAATTTCTTTTCTATCCAATGATGATATAATAAAATCTGGTTTTCGATTTTCATCTTCATCATTTTTATCATTTGTTTTGGCTGTCATTGTTGTCGATGATTGTTGTTTTTGTTGTTGTTTTTGATCGATATAAATTTCAATATCATTCAATAATGTATCATTATCATTATTATCATTTCGTACAATAATCGATAATAAATCATTAAATTTTGTTATAGTTTTTGGATATGAACATGGATTTAAATTATTCATATAGCTTAAACCATATTTTGGATTTATAATTATTATTTCATTTATTATTATCATGTTTGATTGATGATGATTATTTGGATTTTTTCTTTGATTATTATCATTATCATCATTATCGTTGTCTAAAAGTTTTTTATCCGATTCATTAACATCATCATTATTAACATGCAAACCATCATCACTTCCCAGATGATTATCATTGACAGAATTATTTTTATTATGATTATATAAACGTTTTGTTGTAAAAAACATTTTCGAACCATAACAAGGTAATTCGGATAATATTTTTAAAAATTGTAATTTTACCTGTAATGATGTTATAAATGGTTGATAATTTTTATAATGATAATGATTATTAAAACTATTTAAACGATTTAATGATGATATTGATGATGAACATGTTGATGTTATTGATGTTAATGATGATGATGTTGATAATGATAATTTATTCAATGATTGATTGGAATTATTTAATTTTTTCATTATTTTCAGATTTTTTGATGGTTTTTGTTGTTGTTGATTATCATTTGTAATATTATTTGTAATATTATCAGTTGATATTGTTATAAATAAATGTTGATTTAATTTAATGGAATGTAATAATAAACGTATTAATTCTTTACGTTTCATTGATTTATATAATGATTTTGGTACAAAATTTTCTAAACCATATTCATCATCTAATAATTTTAAATTGATTTTATTCAATTGATTCAGGTTTTTTGCCTGTATTGTTGTTGTTGTTTTTGTTTCAGTTTTAACTGTTGTTGTTGAAAATGTTTTTGATTGATTTTCCATTTGTTTTGTTGATTGTTGTTGTTGTTGTTGTTGTTGACTTAAAACATGTTCAATAATATGTATAGATGCTAAACGTATTGCCATTTCATATTTTATTTCCGGAACAAAACGTTCATTTATAATATCATTACAACATTGTTGATAAAAATATTCAAATGTTTGTCGATCTTGTTCCAATAATTTTGCTGGATCAATTGGCACGATAATTATACGAAATAAACAACGTAAATTATGTGCATTTGGTCGGGCAGCAATCTTTTTTTTTAAATTTCAATTTGAAAAACAAAAAACAGATTAAAATTTCATAATCATAATCGATTATCAATCAATCAATCAATATATTCGGCCAAGTATAAAGACAAGTTTCAGATAGAAGGAAGGAAGAAAGAAGCAGAACAAAGCAAAGAAGCGAAAAAGTTTCTTGATTGATTAATAATATTTGAAACAGGCAGCCAATTAGATAGATTAGATAGAAAAGATTGAAAAAAGCAAATTTTTTTTTGCGAAAGAATCATGATTTTGTAGTATCGATATCGATATCGATATGATTCGATTGTAGTTTTTGTTTTTGTTGTTGTTGTTGTTCATCACCAATCATAACCATACTTACATTGGCAATCATTTCATTTGGATCTAATAATGTTAATTTATTATTATTATTATTATTATTATTACGATAATTTATTGAATGATGATGATGATGATGATGATGTTGGTGAGAATTTGTTTGATGATTATGATGATGATAATGTCCAGAATTATCAACATTATTCGGATTTGATGATGTTGATGATGCTATATTTGCTGCAAATCCCGATGATGACAGAAATGGTTGTTGCTGTTGTGATGATGTGGGTGTTGATGGTAGTGGTGGTGGTGATGATAATGATACAGATGATGCAGCAGCAGCGGATGGTGATTGTAATTGTTGTTCCGGTTGTTGTTTTGTATGATGTTGATGATGAACATTATTTTGATTATTAAACATTTGTTCACACATTAATCCATAATGTTGATATGATTTTATTGCTAATTTTTCACATAATGAATCGACAACATTCTAAAAATTTTTTTTTTTTTTTGGGAAAGTTTTCGAGAAAGTTTATGTAAAAATCTTTTCAAAAAATTTAATTGAAATAATTACCTGTACAGTTGTATTACCATCATATTTAAATGTTTTAGTTTGACCATTTTCTAAAAATATTTTCAATACATTCGGTATGATTGGTATAATTGAATCATCATTATTATTATCTGAATGGTGTTGTTCGCAGAAATTTCCTGTAAACATTTCGGAAGATGATAATGATGAAGACGATGATGATGATGTACCACATGTACAAGATGTTGATTTATATGTTGGTGCCATTGTTGTTGTTGTTGTTGATGATGATGATGATGATGAACATGAATGAAATAATGGTGAACCATTAACAATAACACCTTCAGCAAAACGTACACGTGATGGATTTGAACGTAAACGTTGTTTTTTAGCTGCTGTTAATAATGCTGATTTACGTATTGAATTTTGTGTATATGGTTGACAAACAACTAATGTTACTGTTTCTTCGCTTGATCTTTTTTTTTTGTTGAAAAATTAAAAACATTTCTCATAATTAAACATTGGATTTGTTATAATTAGTTATAATTTACTTACTTAATTAATTCAATAACATGTTCACGTGGTGAATTACGTACATTATGTCCATTAACTTCAAATATTTGATCACCTGATTGTAATTTATTTTCACTTGGACCATTTTCTTTAACAAAACGTACAATAACTGGACGATCTGAACCGGCAACAAAACCAAAACCTAATTGTTTATCACGTTTTAATTGTACAATACGTGGCTGTGGTGGTGGATCATCATCAAATTCTTTATTTATTGGTAATTGATAAGTTGTACTACAATTGATATGGCTATTACAAAAAAAATTACAAAATCCAAATTACAAATTTATAAATAATTTTTTTAACCAAAAAAAACATACTTAATATAATATTGTCGACCTTCAGCATCGATTGCAATTTCCCAACCAAATGGTAATATTGATGTCGATGTTGTTGGTGATTGTATTGAATTATCAATCGGATGATTATGATTTGAATGGATGAAAACACGTTGTTGTTGTTGCTGATGTTGTTGTAATTCTGTTGATGGATCTGTTGATGTTGATGTGGTCGATGATGATGTTATTGATGATGATTCACTTAATTGTTGTTGTTGTAATGTAGCCAATGTTGGATCATAGCAAATTTGATTCCAAATATTATTCGGTGGTAACCAACTTGTTGTTTTTGTTTGATGACTTTATTTAATGAAACAAAATACAAAATAGTAATTAGAAAATAATGTTCATCATAAGTTTCAATATGCAAATCATTTGTTTTTCCATTCATTTTGTTTTATCGAAATTAATTGTAATTAATTTCCTTTCCTTTTTTTTGGATCAACAACAACTACGACCAAAAATGGTGAATATTTTCATCATTTAGTTATTCTGTTATCAGTCTATTTATTTAATATAATTTGTTTTTAGTTTGTATTTCGGTTACCATCCAAAATTATTATTGTTATTATAAGCATTGAACAAAAACAAAAACGAACAAAATTAATTTCAGCAACAACAATAATTATGATTGCTGGATATGAATTTGGTTAATATTCATATTCGATGATGATAATGATGATGATTTTCAATCAAAAATACACCCACACACACAAAAATCAAACAAAACATTCAATATTGGATTCTTAAAAATTCATTTTTTTTTGTTTTTGGTTTGTTTGTTTCAATCAATTAACAAAGAAATTTTCGAAAAAAATACTTGAACAAAATGGCAATGATAGTAGCAACAACAGCAAGAGAAAAACAAAAATTGCAAATTGCAAAAACGATGATGATGACGAAATGAAAAGAAATTCATAAAAGAATTTTTCTTCGAAAAAACATCATCATTACAATTGCATATTGATGACACAAACGAAACACAAAACAATAAAGCATTATATTCATTTAAGCATCTCATTTACTATGAGAAAGTAAAAGATTTGTGTGTGTGGGCGTAATAATGTTTGCCTTCATATCCGTTATGAACAGAATTTTTTGTTTCGTTTCGTTTCAATATAAAAATAGATTTTCTCTTCCCTTCTCTCACATCTCTTTCTACCATGAAATTTTTTCTTCATTCATTTTCTTCAATGGAAATCAACAATAAATGAATGACACATATGTGTGTTTGCGTGCGGCAATATTTGTTTGTTTGAATAATAAAGAAGACAACAACAACAACGACGAAAAAAATGACAAACTTTATTTTTTGTTCCTTCTGATTCATTCATTCCATCAATGATTCGTTTTCGCATTTTGGTTAATTAATTTATTCATTTTCAAAATGAATTTGTTCTCGTTGTCTGCAGATGGATGGATGGATGAATGTTTATAATTAGAATTCTTAAGAGAGAGAATTTTTATTAGCTCTTCATTTTCGGGTATCATTCTTCTTCTTCTTCCCTCAATATTTCGAGATTCAGTCAATGAATTTTCTGCCATTTGTAGTTGCTTGTAAAAATAACACTTATTCATAAAATACGTACGTGTTATTTGAAAAATTTAAAGAAAAATAAACAAAAATAAAGTTTTTTTAAAAAAAAATCATAGTTAGATTTTGCATTGTTTATTCATTATGCAAAAAAAACAGTTTTTTCCTTTTTCACTGTTGTTTGAAATGTTTTTCGCCATTCAAATTGGGTCGATTTTTTTGTTTTGTTTGGTTCAATTTTGAATATCAAAATTAAATGAAATGGACATCCGTCAGATCAATTTTTGTTCCGAAATTGTCATCATCATCATCGTGATAATGATCCTATGAAAAATAGAAATTTTTTTCTTTGAATTCTGGATGATGAATATTCCGGATATATCAATTGTCGTCGTCGTCGTCGTTAAAGTAGATTGGAAAAAAACAAAATTCTGTTGTGTGTGTGGGTGTTAGTCGCTAATGTGAAAAAGGAAAATTTATCCAAAAAAAAATTTTGAAAATTTCGAAAATTTCCAATTTTGAAAAAATGAAAAAATGAATGAATGAAGGATGTCTTCATTCATTCATTCAACTCGAAACACATCAATCGATTTAATGACCGCCAATCATAATGATGATGATGACTATCATTTTTTTCTATTTTTCAAAAACGAAAAGATTCTCTTCTCATTATCATCATCAAATTTTTTCATTCATTCATATACATTGTATTTATGAATGGTTCCATTGAATCATCATCATCATAATTAATAATCAGAAGAGAAAATCTTTTCAAATCAGCATGAATGAATGAATGATAAAACCCTTAAGGTTTTTCTTTTTCTTTTCACATTCTTCATTGTCTGCAAGAATTCATTTCTCAAAATTTTCAAAAATGTTGAAAAATCTTCAAACTTTTTTTTAAAAAAATCTCGCTACATGATGATGTGCGTGTGTGTGAATCAATGTGGTTTCTTTTATTGTTTGGTTTTGGTTTGATTGGCAAAATAAGATAAGAATCATTAAACAAACAAACAAACAAAACAGAGAAAAAAAATTTTGAAAAATAGTTTTTTTTTCTTCACTTCACTTTGGTTAAGTTTTTTTTTCTTTCTTAATTCATTAGGAAAACAGAACAGAAATTTCCAGAAAAGATTTTCAATTTAGGGGGGGAATTTTCTTTTCAGTTTTTTTTATGGGAAAGTATTTTGGCCAGAATATTCTTCTTATTATTTATTAATTTATTCATAATTCTCATCGATAAAGACCAAAGATAATGATGATGAATGATTCAAATGACATTTTAAAAATATTAAACACATTTTTGTGAAAAACAAGAAGTTCGGGTTGGCAATTTCGGGGTTGAAAAAAATCATTTTTTAGAAGAATTTTTTTCAGAAAAAAAAACAGAATCCAAAAATTGACGATAAAGTCACGTTTTTTTTAACATTTTCTTTTCATCAAAATTGTTGTTGTTCTTGGTTCCTGTACAATCCCAAAGAAAAACAAACGGCCAAACATGATGATGATAATCTTGAGCAAGAAAAAAAGATTCTAATCACCATTGATGGAACATCAAATCACCGAAAAAATAGCCTTATGCTTTTGTTGGAAACAAAAAACAAAAAACAAAACAACAATGTTGACATGTTCAATTGGGTAAAGAAAAGAAAACCCATATGTTTCATTTCATCACCATTTCACTGTTTCAGTTTGTTTTCAGTTTGTTTTGTTTTGTCCGATGATAATGATAATGATAAAAATATATATTTCCTTATTGGATAAACAAAAATAATGTTAAGTCTGTATAATTATCACGAAAAAAACAAAAAACAAAAAACAAAACAAAATTGTCATTTTTTTTCTCCCTAAACTAATTTTCGTGTTTGTTATCTATCTATCTATCTATCTTTGTTGTTGTTGTTGTTTTCGGCAATTGTTGTTAATGATAAAAAATAATGATTACATCATCAACATTGTTGTCGCGTTTGTTGTTGTTGTTGTTGTTGTTGTAAAAGATGTTTCAACAACAACAACAACCATAATCATCATCATTATTATGATGCGGGCGCCATACAGGGTTTTTTTTTGTTTTGTTTTGGGTTTTATTTTGGACGCCCAGATCCAAACAAAAAAAAATAAGTTCAAAAGTTCAATAAATAAATCAAAAAATTGAAACAAAAAAAATTGATTATCAATCAATATAAACTGACTGTTAATCATATCATAAATATCAAGTTTACCAAGAAAATTTCCCAAGAAATCTCTGAAAATAACCCCCAATTGGATAGATGGGATGTATGATTTATTTAGCTACATTCATTCATTCATTCATTCATTCATCAAATGACTTTTCAGCTAGACAAACAAACAAACAAACAAACAAAACAATCATATTTTATTTATTTATCTAACTAAACGTAGAATTTTCAAGAATTTTTAGTTTTAGTTTTTATCAAATAAAAACAATTTGTTGTTGTTGTTGTTGTTGTTTTCTACTGAATTTCTCCAAAAAACAAAACGGAATTCATTTGGGGTTTGATTTCTCTCTATGTTTTGAAAAATCAAATAAATATTTTATCAAAAAAAAAAAAATCAAAATTATTTATAAACAACAACATGGACAATATGACAATGAATGATGGAAAAAAGTGGTTTTTTTTGGTGGAAAGTTTCTCAGAAAAACAAAAATTCACATATGTCGTTATTCAAAATTTCTAAACATCATTTATTCATGTCAAATGATGATGAAGAAGCCCCAAACAAAAATCCAATTAATTTAAATCTTAAAAATGATTGTCAAAATTAATCAATCGATCGATCGATCGATCGATTTATCTGAGAAACAAAAAAAAAAAAAAAGTTTTTTTAATTTGCATTAAACAACAACCGCCCCCATAATGTTGTTTTTTTTGTTCGGGAAATTTTCCCGGA